CYYCCYKGGSMRSCYKKKCCAGGGCTCTGTCACCCYCACAGTGAAGAAGTTCCTCCTCACCTGGAGATGGAACTGCCTGGGTTTCAACTTACACCCATTACGCCTTGTCCTGTCACTGGCCACCACCTCATTGGCCCGGCCTCAATGAAGCCCATGGTGTTGACCAGCACCTCTGCCGCCGTCAGGGCCAGGGGGATGGGGGGACACACAGAGTGCAAGACACCACTGGGTTCTGGAATAGAAGCGGCTGAATTTCAGGGCCCAACTCGGCCTGTGCTTCGTTGAGGGGTATGGATGTGGGGTAGTTTGCCAGCGGTTGGAAGGGCTGGCAGAGGAGGTCCATAACGGGGAGGTTGATACTCAAGCTCAACATGTCTCTCCTGTCACTGCCACTTTGGGCCAGCTTTGGTGCCAGGGTTGTGTCCTGCTGCCGAGCTGTAGGTTCTACTGCTCTTGGGGACCAGGAGGCTCCCACTCCATCCCACATGATAGTCCTCTATGATGGGATGACAGCTGGGATGGATGATGGGAGATGGGATGACAGCTGGGATGGCATGCTGTCAACCTTGATTTCAGCAAGGCTTTCGACATCATCTCCCAAAACATCCTTGTGGAGAAGCTCTGGAAGTGTGGTCTGGACGGGTGCCCAGTGAGGTGGATTGGAACGGGCTGGATGGCAGCGGCCAGAGGGTGGKGAKARATGGGGCCGAGTCCCGTTGGAGGCCTGTGGCCAGCGGTGTCCCCAGGGGTCAGTGCTGGGCCTGGTGCTGTTCAACCTGTTCATCAATGACCTGAACGAGGGCACAGAGGGACCCTGAGCAAGAGGTACCCAGGGTGCCCCGTGCTCTGGGTGTCCCTGCTGGAGCAGGGGCTGCACTGGGGGAGCCCTGGGGGTCCCTTCCAACCTCASCCMTCCTGGGATCCTAAGAGAGRTGTCCGAAGAGGMGGATGGGTTACGCTCCGGACGCTCAGGCCCTGGCCCCTTCTTAAAAGGTTAAAAGAAATCAAGAAGCTTTTAAAAAACATTACTGTTGCTGTAACATAGCATTTTTATTTATAAGTTACAAAAGCTAAAAAGAGACTTGCGCGCTGCAGTTTCCATAACAGTATTTTTAYTAACAAGCTAAAAAAAATAGAAAACATGTCCTGTTACAAAACAGCGAGTTTTTMAAGATGTTGCTCCAAATTTGGATGAGAACCGAAGCCAAGACATTGGGGAAAGTGGCATCATGCCCGGAGAGAAGGAAAGAAAGAGCACGGCCGAGGTTGCTGACGGGCTGCAGGGTTTGGCTGAGGCTCCATGGGGTGCASAGGGTGCTGCTGGCGACCACCCAATGGCCCCTCTGCCCCAAAGCAGCCCCGTGGGCGCCCCGCTGTCCCCGACCTCGGCTTTGACATGAAGCCGCTTCCCGTTAACAGGGGGCTGGTCGCTCGTCAGCTCCCTGCTCTGGGCTCTGCTGTGTGTGCAAGTGGTCACCGTGTTGCCCCAAAGCACGAAGACRTCAACATTTCAATGCAATTTCTCACTGCGACAGGGAGGGCCTGGCAGCGGCCAGCGAGTCCCGTGGGGCAACGGGTCCGAGCGCAGGGAAGCTCCGCACGCGGCTCCGGCAGAACGGGGAGGCAGCTCCGAGGCGGGAGCTGGAGGAGACCCCGGCAGCGCCGCGGATGTGTCACCCTCGGGGCCCGCGCGGGGTCGGCTGCTCCTCAGGGCCGCGTGCGGAGAGCGTCGGTGTCGGGAGCCGCCGCGGCACCGGGAATCGCCCCCCGGGCTGGAGCCGGCGGCGCTCCGGGTGCTCAATCCCGGCGCTCAGTCCCGGCGCTCACTCCCCGGGGCTGGCGAGCGCCTCGAGCGCCTCGTGCAGGGGCAGGCGGCGAAAGGCGTCGGCGTGAGCGGCCGCGTCCTCGGCGAGCGGCGCCGCAGCGCCCGCTGCGAGCGACGGCACGTCAGCGGGACGGGGCCGCCGCGCCAGCGCCGCCCGCCGGCCCCAGCTCTCTTTCTGCCCTCAAATTCTCCTTTTCTCCTAACCCTTCTCCCTGCTTCCCACCGCTCCATGTCCCTCCTCACTGCCAGCACATCCCAAGGGCTGCAGAGAGTGCGAGCACTTCGGAATCACCCACGGCCCAAGGGTGGTTTGTGAGGGAACAGAAATGTGGGAATTTCACAGCTTGGAGTGCCGCACGGCTCCATGTGAGCCCCAACATCTCTCCCATTGCACCAAGGGAGAGAAATCCCTGGAAAGGGCATCGCAATCCTGCTGGGACTTGCCACATGCTGTGGGTGTCCCTGCTGGAGCAGGGRGTTGGACTGGATGATCTCCAGAGGTTCCTTCCAACCTCAGCCATTCTGGGATTTGCACCCGAACCCTCCTCTAACCCTTTCCCACACAGGAATAAGAGGGTTTCTCCCTCCGTGTCCCGCCGCAGCGCGATGGGGAAAGGACCTGCCCGCCCAAACCCGGGAGCGAGGCCAGCGGCGCCACTTACGCRCGCACGAAACGACGGCCTCCGTGGGGAGGCTGCGGCAGGGATCTCCGTAGAGCAGCCTGGCGCTGAACGGGAAGCTCTCGCTTCGCCCCGACGTGTTGTAGCTGAAGGCCAGCACGTTGCACAAGGAGTTTCTCTGCACGGTTCCTCCCAGGTGGCTCGAGAAACGCTCCTGGAGGGACGAGAAGAGCATGTGCAGCAGGAGGCCCAAGGGAGGCTGCGCCTTGAGCGAGGCTGCTGCGACCACCCTGAGCTCGGTGGCAGGAGGGGACGGTGCTTCAGGGCAACCTAAAATCCTCCCAGTGCAAAAAAAGGGAAAGGGAGAGGGGACGTCAGCGCTGGCACCTGTAACTGGTCGGCCTGGTACCTCCTCCCGACGTAGGCGTTGAGGTGGTCGGAGAGCGCGGAGAGGAAGCGCTTGAGGTCCGCGGGCAGGTGCCTGGCGGCCAGCTGCTGCAGCGGGATGAAGGCGGGCACGGAGTGGCGGCGGATCCGCACCTGCGGCCTCGCGGCCACCTCCACGTAGAAGCAGTCCAGGTAGGTGCCCTCGTAGGCGGTGCTGAGGCAGAAGCAGGCGCCGTGCTTGGTCCGCTTCCCGCTGAGCCCTGGGGCGCCCACAGAGCGGCTCTTAGGGGCCCTAGAGCTCCCTGCCCCACAGAGGCTCTGCTGGGGCCCCACCATCGAAACAGGAACCACCAGAGAGGGCCCCAAGAGCATGAAAGACTTGGGAGAGTTTAGGGTAACAAAGCCAGAGAACTTCCTGATAAGGGACTTCTAACAAAGTAGGGACTGGCAGTTTCAGCTCCCAGTCACTGGGTTACGCTGTCCTGGTCCCTTAGGACTAAACTASTTTTACACCTGGCAGAATCCAGGTCACGGTGTGAACGTGACAGGMAAACGGAGTCCCTGCAGCAGCCCARAGGCCGTCTGAGCAGGACAGGGTGTCACACAACGGGATCCCCCTTCCAGCACCTGCAGCACTAAAGGCTTCAAACGCAACAGGAGCAAAGCGAGGGGGAAAGTGGATTTCACCCCACGCTGAGCTGCAGAACTCGGCCTAAGCTGCGGCCGCCGGCTGAGCGYGAGCGGCTCTGGGACGCTACCTGTGAGGTAGAAGAGCTGCAGCAGGTCCTGGACGCTCCTCATCTTCCACTCCAGAACGGCCCGGGCGCTGCGCTGGGCTGCATCCGGCTCAGCGCTTGGCGCCACCCCTTCATTCCCGAGGAGCTGGAAATGCCAGAAAACGGGACGCGTGGCTCAGGATGACGSACACAACAGGGGTGCCCATGGGGACTGCAGTCAGGCTCTGGGGATATAATCYGGTCCGAGACAAACAGGAGGGCATTTCACACAATCYAGGGTGGCTGAGGYTGGAARGGACCCCCAGGATCCCCCAGCGCAGCCCCTGCTCCAGCAGGGACACCCRGAGCACGGGGCACCCGGGCGCATCCCGGCGCGCTGGCAGATCTGCAGAGCAGGAGCCTCCGCAGCCTCCCTGGGCAGCCTGGGCCAGGGCTCGGGCACCCTCCCACCAAACAAGTTCTTCCTCACGTAGAGATGTTCCGAGAAGAACAGGGCAGGAGGAGTTTGCAAATAGCCACCCAACCTCTAAGCAGAGGGATCCAGCAGTGGAGCAGGGACACCGCACTGAAAGTGAGGGCGCCAGGACCCGGGTAAAAAGGGAAAATAAAAACAGTAGGTGGGTGTGTTGGATAAAGAGCCTCATTGAGGAACGGGGGGTGCCCGGGGCCGCCTCTCACCCGCTGCTGCTGCAGCTCGACCTGGGCCCGCAGCCGGTCCCGCCGCAGCCTCAGCTCCTGCGCCCTCGCCCGCAGCGCGGCCAGCTCCTCGTCGCGCTGCTCGGCCGCCTCCTGCCGCAGGGCCAGCGCGTGGGCTCGCGCCTCCAGCGCCTCCAGGTGGGCCAGCACCCCTGCAAGGGGGCACGCTCGGGCACCCGGCCTCCTCCCCGCGCTCACAGCTCCCTTAAAACTGCTCACAAGCCCCCTAAGGCATGTGTGGACCGCGGCGTGGTCCGACAAGCCGGGAGACRGCCGGTTTTGTGGGAATGCCCCGCAGGAGGAGGCAGCGCCGGCGCCCCGAGCGCGCCCGGCTGCACGCTCACCATCCTGTGCAGACGCTCTCCCTCGTTCCATGCTCCCTCGCCGCTGCCGAGCGAGCGGGACCCCGGCCCGGGCGAGGTGTCCGCCGCCGTCCCGCGGGATCCGTCCTCGCCCGGCCAGAGCAGCTCGTTATAACCCCCCCTCACAGCGGGAGGGAAGGGGCGCTGAAGGGCAGCGCGGACACCGGCTCTCTCCCACACAGGATCTCGGGGGGGTGCGTGAGCCGGACGCCTGGGCCCCGCCGCGTGCGTGAGCCGGCCGCGTGCGTGAGGCGGGACAGCCTGGAGACCCACCGCAACACGCGAGACCAGGAGCTGTTGGCGGGGCAGGGCGGCCCTGCAGGGGGAAGGGCCCGCCCGGACGCCGGGGCCCCGCGCCGTGAGCGGCTCCCGCGCGCAGCGGCACAACGGTCGTTCAAACGGCGCGCGCCGGAAACGCCGCGGCCCCGCGCGCGTCACTTCCCCCCCACACCCCGCCGCTCCGTACAGCAAGATGGCGG